GGATTTACACCCAGGCCAGCCCCCGTTCATACACTGAACATGATGTCTGTGGTACAGAAATATTCCATGGCCTTTCCATTGCTCTGTTTCTGCTCCTTTTGAGCTGCTATGGGAAGCTGGGAAAAGTATAAACATCACGTAGTAACAATTAAAACAGTATGCATTATTGATACTCCCTTTGTACCAAATCTGAAACACACAAAAGCCACTAAACAGAAAGGCACTGATTGTCAGCTCGATTTGGGCACTCGTATCCACAATTTTGTGATCCAATACCTTCTATTGCTCACTGTAAAGGAAAATGTTCCATTCCAATGGAAGGTAGGAAAACATCTAGACCAATCTGTCGTCCCTTTTGAGTGCCTTAATCAGAAGGCTTCTAGAGCAGTGCTCCTGAATTTCAGTTCCTGCTGCTTTCTCTGCGTTTCCAGTTATTTTCAGCTGGGCGAGCTGCAAAAAGATCTTCCTGACTTCGCTGGTCTGAGACTTGCATTTTCATGCATTTCTGGTTTTCAGATTGTCTTCTGGCTGGGGGCAAGAAAGCAGGGCAGTGGCTGCTTGGGTCAGGTATCTCTACCTGGGGGAATTCTGTGTCCCTGGCTGTTTAAATGGAAGGACAGTTCTGACTCCAGAATCATTGGACTCGATTGCTGCTGGTCTGTAGGGGAAAATATCTTCTCATGTGTCTCCTGTCCTTCGCTAAGTATCATCTACTGGTCTCTGCTGCAGTAAAAGGATACTGCCATAGCTGAATCTTTGGTCTAACCTGGTGCAGCCTTTTTATGAGCTGATGTGGTAGTTTCTAAGCCATACAAGTGACTAATGTGTATCCCAGCTGCACTGAGTTATTTAAAAAGGAGGAATGTTTTTGGAGAAGAGGACTGCAACATCTTGAGACGTGCATTTTTTTTCTCTTCACCCAGACTCTCAAAGCATGATTCCTCCTTTGCCATCCTCTCTGTCCTCATCTTTCCCTTTCTTGGCTTGGAGCCTTTGTTTGGTCTGAGACTGTGATGATGTTTGACAAATCCTTGCCTGCTATGTCAACAGAAACAGCTCTTTCTGAGCTCAGGATGAGGTGGTAACTGGAAGGTGCTGTTCGTTTCCACCCTTTCATAGTGCTTCTAGTCATTGTTACCTGTCAATTGATGAAATCATAATATTTAGCTCTAAAATGCTTAGTTTGCTTTTCTGAAGTGCATTTTGTAATCCTTGGGGTTTCTTCTATGGTAAGAAATACTGATATGATCATGGAGGAAAAAAGCAAAATACTTTAGTATTTGCTTTGTAAACCTTTACTAGGTAAACCAGAATTGACGAGTTTTGGGTTGCGGAAAAATTATCTGTGTGCTGCTTCGTGGTCAGGCCTGACTAACAGGAGGCACTTGTTTTAACTGGTGTACAGCCCCATTCAATAGAGCCATAAACCTGGGACTTGAGGTGTTGATCAAATTGGACTTCTTCAGATCATGCAAGAGGAGCCCAGTGACCGTAGTGTCTTCTCTTGCAGCTGGAATCCCAAAGGGTTTACCCAAGTCTTTGGAGTGAGTGGGAAGCAGCTCATGATTGTAATATACCAAAGTATTTATTCTTTCCAAAGTGTTTTCATATAAATACATGTATCATAGAATCATAGAATGGGTTGGGTTGGGAGGGACCTAAAGACCATCTTGTTCCAACCCCCCTGCCATGGACAGGGACACCTTCCACCGGATGAGGTTGCTCAAAGCCTCATCCAGCCTGGCCTTGAACCCCTCCAGGGATGGAGCTGGTATCCAGCTAGTATACACAAGCTTCTATTTGTAACTGAAATAAAAGTAGTGTGTTAAATAAAAATGGAGAAGGCATCCGAATTCATGGCTAATATGTCTCTTTGTAATATTGAGCAAAAGTAATATATTTAGCGGGGAGTAGAGATTCAATGCAAGGTACAAGTTAGCTTCGAGGTTGTTTTTAGTTGGAAACTGGGAAAGCTTGCTTGCAGCTGATGGTTTCCTAAGTTAGTGAGGATACCATCTGGGGTAGGAAATTGCTTCCTACTTATTTATTCTCTAGATCAAAAGGTAAATAACCTTCTCCTTTTCCTGGTGGGTTTATCGGAAGGGAAGCAATGGCTTGCAAAACCTTTCTTGCTTACGGACAATGTGGTGAGGTGTAGCTTCTCACCTGTTATTTTCTCTAACATCAGGAATTTGTTGTAACACCAGAACTTCTTCAGTGCCATTTAAATGGTGTGGAGTTGCATCTGATCTGCTTGGTAGGAGCATTCTGTACATGGGACACATGGTTTTTCATCTGGTTTGCATGGTTTTGGAGAGGGTTAAATCACAATTTGGAGTAATGCTGCTTGGGTTTGCAATGGAAACACCATCACCCGTTTGCTTTCAGTTTCCTTCCTTTACAGAAGGAACAAAATGATAAATGTCTTTGGAGGTAGAAAAAATGGAGCCTTATTTCTATTTTTTTTTGGTGTGGAATTGTCAATGAAGATGGTGAGTGCAGGCATAAGGACTTCATTTCTGTTGGGAGCAATGATGAATTTAACTCGCTGGTTTTCCAGAAATCAATCTCCTTCTGCCCTCAAGTAGCTTCTATTTAATTTCATAGGAAGTAGCTCTGTGGTTTATTTCTCTCTATGTTGTGCTACTGA